CCCCCCCCCCCCCCACACAGTGCTCCAGCACAAGAAACACCAGACGGAGGGTGCGAGCCAGATGTCACGTCACAAACCGCTCCACTGCCTGTCTCTCCATCCCTCAAGCTCTCTACGCTAAATGACGACGACACACAACGCATCACATAGCCAGACAACACAAGACAACGATCCGTCCCCCTCTCTCTCTCTCTCTCTGTATCCCTCCCCACCGCCAAACATTAGAAAAGCCCACAAACGAACGGACTGAACTGACTGAGTGGTTCGTTGGGGCAGGCCTGGCTCCGCCACACATGAGACACTCGCGCGGTGATCCACCTCCTCTCCCCACTGCCGTCCGTCTTTGCAGTTCAAGATGGAATAGGAAGACTACTTTGGGATGACAACTGACTACTTGTGAGTGTCTTATCAGGGGAGTCTACTCGGTCGGTCGTTGTACTCCTTCACTCCCCCGGCAGCTGCAGCTGCTTGACCGGCGTGGCCGTCCTCACCAACACCGTCAGAGACACAGCCTGGGTCGTCACCACGGACACACACACACACACACACACAGAGACAGAGAGAGAGAGAGAGAGAGGATTCCAGCGCGCGTCTTGTTGTGGGTGTGGGTGTCATATCTGTGGGTGTGGGTGTGGCTGCCTACGGTGGTGAGGATGGTGCATGCGATGCAGGGCACGAAGGCCACTATGGCCAGGGCCATCACCGCCACCGCACTCCGGTCCTGACGCCACCACTGAATGCGCACCCACACCGACACTACACACACACACACACACAGCCAGAAGATCCCCGAGCTGCAGCGATTGTGTTCGTGTCTGTCTGTCTGTGTGTCCTACGCGAGAAGGCCAGCCCGACGATGCCGGCCAGGCATGTGCCCAGCAGAGTGGTCAGCTCCACGACATGAGGGATGAGCTGCGACACCACCACGGGCACACCCACAACAAACAGGGTCGAGGCGATGTACTCTAACACCTCCAGCGCTGGTAGGACAGACAAAACACACACACACACACACACACAGAGAGATAGAGCGAGAGAGGTTCGCTTATTCGCTCCCTCTGTCGTGTCTTTTCTCCCGTGCGTAGCTTACGCTGCAGGTCTTCAATGGGTTCGATCATATCCATGGCGATCCCATGCCACCCCCCGCTCCCACTGGCCGTGTGCGTCAGCCCACAGCTGCCGTTCAGCCCCGAGCTGCTCGCACTGACCCCGCTGCTGCTGCGGGCAAACCCGCCCTCGCGCCGCCCCTCCCGCCTCACCGAGCGCTCGAGGTGCGGCAACAAACTGTCGCTCACAGTGCGGACGGGGCGGTCGGCATCGTCGGGGTGCTGGGTGTCTCTGTCTCGTGGCAGCAGAGGCTCCCTCGGCCCCTCACCGCCCTCGACAGGGGTGCGGCTTCTTGCTATGGGTGAGGTGGACAGCGGGCGGGGCCGCTCCCTCTTGGACGCGCGAAAGATGCCGCGTGAGTTGCGGATGCTCGTGGCGGTGACGCCCCGGCGCTTGAATGAGGGCCTGGAGAGAGAGGCCGGGAGAGAGGCCGCACCCGGCTGGCTGGCCGTGCCGTTAGAAGGTGTCCCCTCTGCGTCCCCTTGGTCGAGGGGGAATGGCGGCAGCGCCGGCACTCCTGACCCACCCTCGCCCTCGCCCCCCTCCTGCCCGACCAGACTGGCCTCACTGCCGCTGTGGCTGCCGGGGAGTGGCCCGCCTCGTATGGCCGCCTCGAGGGCACTCATGACGGGCTGCATCCGTCGCATCGTCTCGCTGTTGATGCTGCCCTGACCAGGGCTGCCCAGACCAGACGAGGGGCGGACGGGGGCCGCGCCAGAAGCCGAGTGCGGCGACTGACCTGAGCCGTCCTGAATGAGCAAGTCGATTGAGCTGCCGCCACCGCTGGCCACTACCCCGGCGCCAAGGTCCCCTGGACGGGTGTGGCCACGACCCTGCACAAACACACAGCACACAACAGACAGACACACAGAGACACACACGTGGTGCGTGCGCATTGAAGAGAGAGGGAGACAGTGTGATGAATCCATCCATAACTTGATGATACCCACCCACCGGTGCTTCATCCCGCCGAGCAACAGCCACGTTGGATCCCCATGTAGCCGCGTCACTGTCATTGTTCTGTGACGCCCGCTGACGCAATGTGACGCCGCGGCGGTGGGAGGAGTGGCGTGTGCCGTGTGCGCGGTGGGGTGAGTCGGGAATGACGTCTAGGCGGGGGAGGGATGACGGGGCGAAAAAGTGTGGCGACCTGTGGTCGAAAGGCGTCGGCAGGGTGGCGGGGCCGCCAGCCAAGTACTCGACGGAGAGGTATGCTGAGTGGCGGTGGCTGTGCTGCATGGGCAGCTGGGTTGCCTGCGGGCTGGCAAGCACACACGTCTGGTCTATCCTGCGGGGGGGGACACACACGGCAGGCAGGGCACACACAGGACAGACAGGGGGATGGATCAACACAAACACACAACACACACACACACAAACACACATCGGCCGGCGATGGATCTGATCACCAGGGCCACCCGACCCACCTGGTATCAGTGGCCGCCGTGTACAGCTCCCCGGTTCGCCACATTTTGCCGAAGAACATGAGTGTGGACCTCAGCATTTGGCTGCACAGCGCCAGGCTACTCACCATCCCGCAGCAGTACACCACCCTGCCCACCGTAAGGCTGTACGCCCCCACTATCCACACCGCTCTCCGCCACCCCGTGGCCCAATCACCACCGGCACTCTCCATCTTCTTTTTCGTAATGGTCGACCCTCGCAGCAGCGGGGGCGGCGGCGATTGGTGTGCTTCCGACGGCACCACTGGCACCTCCTCCAGGTCTAGCAGGCTGAACGAGGCGGCCACGGCCAGTGCGACATAGAAGAGGGTCTGAATGGCTGTGCTGACGGCCAGGAGGCCGATCACCCGAGCCTTCGACGGGGAGGCGATCTGCCCGAGCACGTTGAAAAAGTGTCGGTGGCAGCAGAAGAAAAACAGGATCACGGCCAAGGCAGCGGCGTGGTCCATCATCAGCTGGAGGGGCCGCGGAATCCCCTTGACCGTCGGCAAGCGGCAGCCCTGATGGCCATCGCCATGATCGCTGGCGTGATCGTGCCAGTTCATCGTGGGGTCGGTGGTGCCGTCCTCACTGATTATGTCGGCGTACAGCCACTCCCCTCGTGTCACGTTCGCCGTAGTGCCGCCATGGGAGAAGCCGCCGCCAGTGCCACGAGGCATCCCCAGCCCCGTGGCGTCATCGAACGGCTGCCGATCCACTGCCGTATGAGAGGATGGCAGCGGGATGGCACTCACAATGACGGCGATGACAGCGAGCAGCAGCGTGGCGGCGAGGGTGAGCCGTCTTGTCCACCAGGTGAGCTTCGAGTAGTTGACCAGAAGCGTCAACGGGATGACCAGACACAGCGCCGCGATGAGGGACGAGATGAAGGGGATGGACAGAAAGGCCGCCATGGACGAGCTGCTGGAGTCCCACGGCATCATGTGCAGCAAGACACCTTTCCACACCACCCGAAAGAGGTCCCAGCACAGGCAAGCCGTCACCAAGGTCTCGATGAAGAGGAAGACATCCAGCAGCTTCGCGGCGGGGGTGCCGATGAGCGACAGGACGGTGTCCTGATAGCTCTCCCCTCCGATGCGCAGCGCAGCCGTGGCCAGCATCGCCAGCGACGCCAGAGTCACCGAGGCCGCCATGACGATGTACACGCAGCTGGCGGTCACGCCGACAGTGCGCACGACGTAGGGCATCAGGAAGAGGGCGAACCCCAGGCCCATGCCGCTGGATGTGCCCACGAAACTCAACACCGACGACACGGAATTCTTCCGCAGCATCATCCTCATGGTCGGATCCATCATGGCCATCGACGGACAGAGAGAACAGACACACAGGCGCAGGGAGAGAAAGAAACAGAGAGAGGTGGTTGAAAAGATATGCGGTGTGGACCGCCGGGCTAGCTTTGTGCAGGAAAATCGCCCGCGAGACCGTCTCGGAAAATCGCAGAGGAGATGGCCGGTAGCTACGCTAACAAGCTCACTCCTCCATACCACTCCCTTAACATGCACCAGAGAAGTAGGAGATGGGTGGGCCTTTTCGAATGTGGCCTGTCCACAGCGGCCGACTCAGCCAGCGCCACCCCGTCCATCCACCTGAATCACACACAGAGGGACAGACAGGCAGACACAAACAGGCAGAGAAGATCAGATGCACTGCGCGGATGGCGGTGATCTTTCCAAATACGAGTGCACTGACTTACCAAAAAGCGGCAGCGGGCTGCTGGGGGGGGAGATGTAGGGGAGGGAAGAGGAGACTGCCTTTCAAATTTGAGCTCGCAGGCAGATCTGGAAGGCGGCGTCCTCCCCCGCTGGCCGCTGGAGTGGCAGAAGGTGCTCGTGGTTTGCACAATGAAGTGTGCGGCAGCTGCCATCTTCATCGCCCTGTCCTCCGTACTCCGCGATGCCGCGGCATTCGTCGTGCCCACCCCCCTCTCCCTCCCCTCCCGCCAGCTGTCGCTGCCATCCCCCCTCCCGCCCTCCCCCTCCCCGTCCCCCTCTCGCAACTTGCTGACGATGAAGGCGCACCCCAACTTTCGCAAGGGCAACACGCAGCGGCTGGGGCGGGCTGCGGACCAGAGGAAGGCGCTCCTGCGGTCCCTCACGACGGCCTGCCTCAAGTATGGGAGCATCCGGACGACCGAGGCCAAGGCCAAGCAGGCGGCGCGGCACGTTGACAAGATGATTGGTCTGGCCAAGAGGGGGGACCTGCACGCATTCAGGCAGGCCCTCGGGTGGCTCTACGACAAAGATCTCACCTTCAGAGTCTTTGAAGCGGTCAGCCAGTCAGCCACACTGCACTGGTCAGACAGTTGAGTCAACAGAGAGAGATGTGTGTGTGTGTGTGTCGTGTGCAGGCTCCGGCTCGTTATGCGGAGAGGCGGTGTGGTTACACGAGGGTGAAGCTGATACAGAAGCAGCGGAAGGGCGACAACGCAAGGATGGCCATACTCGAGCTCGTCTAGTGTGGCTGAGCTGCTGCATCGCCCACATGGGCAATGCCATGTGGATGGATGGATGGATGATTGGATGCAGTGCACTGCTCTCCAAGAGAGACGCGCGACGGACCTCACCGCTGACCGAACCGATGGGACGGGTGTGATCTAACGTCATTTCAACCACCTCTGGGGCGTGTGTGTTGCAGTGCAGAGATCCCATCCATCGATGAGTCACCTTACCCACCCACCTGCCGGTTAATTCAGCTGAGTCTGCATGGCAACTGACTGACGACAAACACATTACACACACCAGCTGGCACCAGCCATCACCATGCACCACTCACCATGCGCACTGATCATCAACCAACCAACACATGAATGACGCATTTATCCAACTCACTCCAACCGAATCACTGCTTTCTTCCAGCTGCAGGCAAGACCCCTTCCCCCC